AGTCCTGGTGTGGCGCTGTGGGCTAATGCATTAGAGACTGCAAAATCATTTGAACTGCAAGGTCGGTGGTTCAGGCTCACCAGCTGCTCCCTGGAGACCCTATACAGGCTCACTATGAGTTGGAATCCACTCGATGGCATTTAACAGTAAGTGCTGTATAATGAAAGTAAATAGATGGATTCAAAAAGTAATCTGATTTGTCAATTCTGTTTGTAGATGAAAATTTCTAAAACTGTTATTGTTAACTGCTATCAAATTGGTTCCGACTTGTAGCGACCCTGTGTAGGGTTTCTGAGGAGTAGGTGCTGAATCTAAATTGCCAGCCTTGCAGTTCAAACTGACCTATGGTCAGTGCTTATCCTACAATGTTACACCAGGACTCCAGAACTGTTATTACTGGATCAAAAAAGAACATTTCAAAGATACTGATATGTACTGCCAAGATGCCTTTTCATTTATGAATTATCTTCTATCTTTATGAAGTATGGTGGCTCCCTCCACATGATAAACATTGGACACTGACCACTACATGGGAGAAAAATGAGACTTTCTGCCCCAGATATGTAAAGTCTCAGAAACCCTCTACAGGGTTGCTATTACTCAGAACCCACTGGACGGCACTTAAAACATTAATATCTTTATATCCTATGTCAGAATTTTTCATTTATGAATTGCCTTATATCTGATATCAGAATTTTTCCTTTAAAAATAACTTTTAAAATGACTTAATCCATACTTCATGATGCCTTCCCTGACACCTTTTGCCCACCATGTGGTCATTAAACATGCCTTCCCTTGAATCTTCACTATGTCTTAAATACCATTTCTACTACAACCCAATCAAAACCACATGTGACTAATGTTTACATGTCTATCATGTTAACTACAATGTGAGCTTCTGGAAGGTAAAAGTTATTCTTTTAACAGCACCTAAAAATTAACATACACTATAAGTTCTCAATATGCATTCACAAAATGAAATAAATATTGCTAGGTTCCACTGCAGGAGGGAGGTGGTTCTGTAGGATAAGCACTGGAATCTAACCAGCTATACCACAGGTGTGGCTTTCTGCTCCCAAAAATATTTACTACAGCCTTGGGATCCCTACAAAGGGTTACCATGAGTTGAAATCAACTGGACGGCATTTACCAACAACAGATTCTTCTGCACCCAACGACTGAAGAGAATTCCTACTTAAATCTCTGATTTTTTATTATGATTTTTGACCAAGTACACAAAGATTATAAAATTTGTTACTCAGGGCCTCAAATACCTACTAAATAAAATTACTAATTTTGTTTGTGATTAGAGTCACTAAAATCTTAGTGATGCTTCTGGAAATCTTTCTAACAATCAATGATGCATTACGTGATCTTAAAATATTTTAATGGTTTAACAGAAAAGGGTTTAAAGCAAACAAGATTTTTACTACAAATTAGTTGTAATCTCAGTTGTCACCATATGCTGTATTTTTCAAGACTGTATTTTAATAATCCACTAAAAAAATAGGTTATTTTGGTAATTTATTAGTTAAATTTGTAATATGTAAGTTTAATAATATAGAGTATGAGAATATATATGTTTAGAATTCAAATAAGCATCTAATAAAATGAATATATACTTTAAAAATTATCAATTTTTTATGAGAAAAACTTGATGGCATATTTGACAACACATGTTGTACAACAGCCTACTGAATGAAATATTCCCTGAACTGGAGGAAGACTTAGAGAAGGGAATGGCAGGTTTCCTTACAGTAATCTCTAAGACAAGCAGCTCCCTCTATAGTCTGTTTGGCCTACTTTGCTTAATTACTTGCTTTGTGGACATCTCACATTCTTCTATTTACTCTGCTGCATCTCAGCAGGGAAGCTCTTTGAAAGGATAATTCTGTTTAATCTAATGTTGCAAAAACTGAGAGAGTTTAAACACAGCATGAAGTAAGCAACTAAGTTAAGAGTTGGGATGTGGAAAATCTATAATAGACTCCCAGGCCCACCTGAGTCAGGTCTTCAGGATTGTATTTGAAATAAATTCCCAGAGTAGTAACATTCATGATCAAACTAAAAAGCAAAAAAAGTCCTATATTTTAGTTACTCATAACTTTGCTTACCTCCATTAATATAAAGTAGCAAAATATCAAGAAAAATTAACCATTTTTTCTACAAATGATATGGCTCAATACATTGTTATGTGAAAACAATGTTCAAGACATTGAAGAAATGAGCTAAAGAATAATTTGTTTTTTAAAATAATTCATTCAACATCTAAGAATATGATTCTCTGAGGAATCAAAAGGTTCAGTCAGCAAGGGATTAAGTCAGTTAGAATTCATTACTCAAATTTGACTATGCCACTTTTATTGTACCTCTTCCAATTCCACCAACTGGAAATATGAGAACGTTTTAACCCAAGCATTCATTTATCAAATTACTCAAGGTAAGTCCTTAAAACATAAGACAATCAGAAGTTAACTAGACTGTTTTCTGAAGTAGAAGAACACTTCAATTGAGAGACAAACTGAACTAGTGAAGAAAAAAAAAATCCAATTTCTATTAGTTCAGAATTTGTAATTCTAAAATGTCCACTTACTTTGAAAAAAAATTTCTACAGCTACTTTTCAGAGTCTCATTTATAATGAAACTCAGTTTTTTTTAAAAAAAAATCTTTTCTCCAAACTAAGGTAAAGAATAAAGGATTTCCAAAGTTAATTCCTGTATGTATTTAAAACAATAAAACCATCTTCATTTAAAATTCTAGTGTTTTATTAAGCTACACTGGCCTCACTTTTATATTATTTTCAAGTTTTATTTTAGTAGATAGCCTGGACTAGTTTTCCTTGGGGGAGGGGTGGGGAGGGGAAGAGGAGGGGACTCAAAAACAGATAGTTCTGTAGTTTTAGCTTTATGTTCAATACTAATTTTAATCTGAGTTTCTGACATGCTATAAATGCAGCTTGATTTCTGAAAGCTGCACACTCTGCCTTTGACTTGGTCTTTTCTCCTATTGAAGAAACACAATTTTTTAATGTTTGAAACTGTGAGCTATATTTACAGCAAACTCAACTCGACAATCCTATAATAACTTTAAATTCTTATTTTTGAAATTTGGGTTTCTCTGTATCATTTTATTTCTTTCAATGTATATACCAAAAAAAAGGTTATTTAAAATGTATTTGCATTATATGCTTCAAAGTATATACAAACAAAACCTCCTTGGGTAATTTTCTTCTAAAATCTGTTATGTCTAGAAAGTACAAAATAAATATTTCAAATCACAGTACACATAGTTAACAGATATGGTTTTTATATTTATTAATATAAAAGTTATATATATATATATTCTTTCCTGCTATAGAATTACTCTGAGCTTACAGGGAAAATTATTTAAAGCCACTTAGAGTCACTTCCACAACAGAACTTGGCTACAGAGTTTGAAAAATCACTCAGGAATACATATTTAATGACTTGTGAAGAGAAAAAAAACTATGTGTGGTAAAGTAACTCAACCACGTGAATTGTAATACACAGAAATGCCACAGTGTATCCGATTATACACTGTCCGCTTTATAATTTGAAAATGTGGTTGAACAGAGTTTATCCTTGCTCTGCACCTGAAGTGAGAACAAATGGTTTTATTACACTTAAATTCCAATTAGAAACAAAGACAGCACCATTACATTTAAAAGGGCAGAAACCCTATTCTGCAGAACACTTTACTTTCACTACTTTCCAGGCTCCAATATGCTCAAAGTTTCAAGTGTTGTACTTTCAATTTGTTAACTGCACTCAAAATCCTATCTACAAGGTCCGCCTCAAAATCTTTGACACGATTTTAAAAAGGGGTGCACTCGGTACTCCACCAAATCGCACTAACAACACTGAAATGTTTAACAAAGAGCAGTCGCATTAAAAGATGAACTGCTTGAATTGAGTGCATGTGTGTTTGGGAAGGCGCTATTATCTCGGCACTCTGCAGAAACGTAGCAGTAAAATGAATGGTGGTTAGGGTAAGAAGCATCAAGTGGGAAGTTCTATTTGAAATCCCAGAGGGCGATACACAGAGGTAAAGGCATCCCTCTCGAGGGGCAGCTCCATTATTTTACGTAGGCAGTTCAAAGCATGTAGCAAAGCAAAGCAATTAAAAACACCTTGTAAACCCGGCCATTGTTGTATTTATATTATCATAAACCCTCAAAGAACGTTGGAGAACACAGCTTCTCTCACTGCTAGCTCCCACCCCTTTTCAAAATAGGTATTATTTTTATTAATGCGTGTAGTGAAAACGCAATCCAACTAGTCGGCAAAGGGGACGTTTTTGTCTGTGCTGCTGAGTTTTGCTTTGGTTCCTAAGAAATTCAACCTAAGTGGGATCTTTCCCGTCAGGCAACACACGCGCATTTCCTACTTGTAAAGGCGCACATTTCCCTGAAGCATTGCACCTGAGGATAGCGTCCCGGCCCCCGCCTGTGGAGGAGACTCAACCTGCGCCCAGAGCAGAGGCCACATGGTTACTTGGGTGGGAACGCTTATCTGGTCCCGGACGCCCCTCGGCTCAGCCCACTGTTATCTCCGGAAGGGGCAGAGGAGAGCGGCTCCGAGACGCGGCGACGCGGAGCGATTGACAACAGAGCTCAAGGGGCGTAGAGGAGGAGCAGGGGGTGTCGGTGGTCCCACCCGAGTCCGACCTCCGAGTGGGGCCTGCGAGCCCGTCCACCGAGGACATGGCGCGGCCACTTGGTTCATTTTTGGGGGGCGGCCGGCAAGCGGGTTGGCGGGAGCGCTGAGCCAGCTTTCGGCCGCCGCACGCAGTGTAAACACTCGGGGGGAGGGGACGCGGTGCTCGCGTGGACCCACATTTTTGCGCCTCTTGTCTGGCACTAAAGGAAACGTGAGGGCGGAGGAGAGGAGAGACGCAGCAGGACCCACCGAGAGGGCCGGCGTCCGCGGCGGAAAGGGCTGGCCGGGCGCCCCGCCGATTCCCACCCGAGCCCGCTTACCTGCTGGGGTCGCTCCGAAGACTCGCACCACCGGCACCTTCTTGACAGGGGCCCGGGTGAGGGGGGATTGGCAGATATCCAGCCCCTGCAGCGGGCTGGCCATGTAGTAGTCGGCAGTCACTATCCTCACTGAAAACATGTTCGCCGCCGCCGCCACCGCCTCCCCTTCACTAGCGACCTGGCAGCAGCAGCAGCGGCGGCGGCGGCGGCGGCGGCGGCGGCTCGCTCCGCAGCGGCGCCCCCTCCCCTCACACACAGACACCGAGAGGAGCGGCGGCGGCGGGCGGGGCTGTTGGCACTGCTGCCGCCGCCTCCTCAAGAGCACCCGGCGAGGGGCAGCCGGAGAGAAACCCTAGCGCTTTCGTCGGTGCTGGTGCTGCCGCCACTGCCGCCGCCGCCGGGGATCACACGGGCTCCTCGGTCCCAGGCTGCAGCTCTTGTTGCCATGATGATGATGTCACGGACGCAACCACTGGGGGAGGGGGAAAGGGGGTTGTGTGGGTGGCGAAGGGAGGGCCGTGAGTAGTTGGGGGAGGGGACGCGGCGGGAAAGGGAGAGGAACGGGGCGGGCACCCAAGTGGGACACCAAGGTGGGGGTCCCCAGAAGGTGTTTTCTCCCCCGCCCCCGGGCACGCAGCGAGGGAGGAGGCTGTCGGAAAGGAGTGCCGGCGCCTGGCGCGGGGGATCGATGACTCGGCCGGTGGGCACGGCCACCTGGGTGAGGGGCACCGGAGGGGACAGCGGAGCGCCGATGTCATGGATGGACTCCGAGGGGGACTCCGGTGTTCTGGGCCGTTTAGGCAGTTAAGCGGGATTGGCCAAAGCTGCGGCTTTCGCGCTTGGCTCGCCGACCGCCATTTCACATCCTGCAGAGGAGGCGGGGGCAATGGCGAAGACGTTTTTTTAACAAGGTAAGAAAACCCGCCGGCGGGAGAAAGAAAGCAAGGCGCAGATCTCGTGCCTCCGCGGCCTCGCGGGACGAAGGGCGGGCAGCGGAATGGGCGGGGCCGTACGCGGACGCAGCGGGCCATTCTCAGGTAAAGCCGCGGCTCCCGCGCGTGGCCCGGGGGCGGTGCGAGGGGCGGGGGCACGCGTGAGCGTGGACCGCGGCCTATAAAAGGGCCGTCCTGTCCCTATCTCCGGAACGTGCAGCTGAGCCGCCACGACCCCGCCTCTTTGCGTTGCTGCAATGTCTACGCCTGGCCAGTTAATGAGATTTATTCACGGTCGGCACTGCTTAGCTTTGCCAGGAGTTGGCAGATCCAGTGCACAGGGATTTCCAACCACGGTGTTTTCCCCCCCGCCCCTTCCCTCCCCTATCGCCCTCTGTATCCTTCCGTGGTTTCTTCCTCGGCCTCACTGGCTGCGTTCCGGGCGTGCGCCAGTACATGTGAGGGCTTGTCAGCTCCTGGTGACCTCCCTCCTCCCCGACCTTCTTCCTCAATGGAATGAAGGACTAAGAGCCTTTCCCGAGAAATTTTGGCCAAAGGAAAAAGCCCGTGAAAGTCACCGCATTCGCGGTGGGCTCCCGGTGTTCTTCATCATAACACTGAGCTAGCTTTTACTACCCGATGGCAAAAAAACAAAAGGAAAGTGGTGGCCGACCGTTACACAAAACAGCTTTACCCAAGTATCGAGAAGGGTGAAGATAAGCAGTTACAGATTTAAAAAGGGAGCAACTGATGCAGCTGAATTAGCCACTGGGATGGATGGGGTTTTTGTCTGACTTGGCCACTAGTATGGGCGTGACCTTGCACAAATTGTCTCTTTGGGCCTCAGTTATCTTTTCCGTAAAATGAGGGTATTTCTTTAAAAACCGGTCACTAAGGTTTTCTTCTCAACAAAAACATTCTAAGCAAGATGAGGCAGAAACCATGGTTTCCAGTTCAAAACAGACCACTGAATTAGTATTTGTTCCAGTCATTTTCCATCTACCCAAAGTAGCGATCATCCTAGCACATTTATATATTTGTACAGGTGCATTTTAAGAGTTAGTAGGTTGCAGTGTATTTGAGGTAGTTAGGTCCTCATTTGGAACCATAGTGGGTTTTCAAATAGGAAAATGAAAATTCTCTAAAGAGACAGGTCACTGTAAGTAAGCTTTAAGTGACACAATATATAAATGCTTATAAGAAATTATACTCCAAGGAATTTGAGACTGATTATCACAGTAAATTAACCTGCAGTTTTCAACCTCAGCATGAACACAGATGGGAAGATTTCTACCAATATACAGGAAATTACATAACATTTCTAAGATGAAAAGTTTCTTAAATTGATTTAAAATTTTAAAAGGCTATAGAAGTGACTTCCAAATAGGATTACAATGCCAAAATGCATTTTCTCGTAAAATAAAAAATATGCCTCGTGGCAGCTGAATGTCAGTTGCACAATACCAGTGATTCTTACAGTGTACTATGACTTGAGGGTGTTATTTAAATTTTAATATTTTGACCCTGTAAATCACAGTTTGGGGATTGGGACTGGAAATCTGTATGTTAACCCTACCACATGATTCTTATGCAATATAAAATTTAAGAACCCCTGAAGTATATTATAATCAAGTGCATCCATATTTTAAGAATTATGCTATAAGCATGGACTCCTGGTGTGGTGCTGTAGGATAAGCACTGGACTGCTAACCTCAAGGCCAACAGTTCAAACCCACCAGCCACTCCTGAAACTCTATACAAGGTTGCTATGAGTCAGAACTGACTCACAGCACTTTGAGCAAGCAAACCTATCAGCACCATTTTTCCAACAGTATGTGTTCACTTGTGTCTGTATGACAATTTGGTAAATCTCACAGTATTTGTGTGGTGCTGTAGGATAAGCACTGGACCGCAAGGTTGGTTTGAACCACAAGGTTAGTAGTTCAAGTCCATCACCCTCTCCTTGGAAACCCTACACCGGATCGCTATGAGTTGGAACTGACTCCAAGGCACTTAACAATAAGAATGTACACTTAATAGACTACAGTATATGTAAACATAACTTTTACATGCACCTGTTGTTAGGTTGCCATCGAGTCTGTTTCAACTCAGAGCAACGCTGGATTGGGTTTCCCAGGAGCAGCTTGGGCTTGTGGTTAGCAGTTTAGTGCTTATTCTGCAGCACTACACCAGAATTCCTTTACATGTACAGGAAACCAAAAAAATTCATGTGCTTCGCTTTATTTCGATAATCACTTTATTATGGTCTAGAACTAAATCCACAATAGCTCGAAGGTATGCCTATATTCTTAACTAAAAAAAAGGAGAATGCATCAGAGTAACAGATTACCTGTTTATAGCAGTTGTCCTACGCTGTATCATTTACTTTAACAAAAGGCAGTTGCTATCACAATTCAAAGGAGCTCTGGTAGTGTAGTGGTTACCAATCGGGCTGCGAACCTTAAGGATCTGCAGTTTGAAACTACCAGCTGTTCCGTGGGAGAAAGATGAGGCTTTCTGCTCCCGTAAAGATTTACAGCCTCGGAAACCCTGTACAGGGTCGCCATGAGTCGGAACCGACTCCACGGCACATAACAACAGCAAACAACATCACAATTCAAATCCTTCTAGAACTCCAAGTAAATAATGTTCCCTCAAATAAAAACATTTGCACCATGCAATTAGGTTGTGTACATTGCATACCATTTATTTTAAGTTGATACTCAAATTGTAAACCTGATTAATCACTCACAATTGTTTTATAAAATTACCTGAATTAAGGAAGAAACTAGAATCTTGCGTCAGAGAATTATTTTGTTGTTGATTTGTTACTTTTCTGTGAAACAGAAATCTAGTAATCCTAGAAGTTCAGTCTGAACTTCTCAGCAATGTTTAAGGCTCAAATGAGATCATGTATGCGAAAGTATAACAGTAAACTGTTGACATCCAGAAGTGTAACTTACCTAAAAACAGTAAAATAACTTGGAATTATCCTAACTACATACTATATAAAGAATGCCAAAAATGAATTCTAAGACGTAGTACATACTTAATGTTATTAAAACATCTTTCTTTAGAACTGAGTGGCTACAAAGGGCCTTTAAAAGTTCCTGGGATTGGAACCATGGCAATGAAACGATATACGATAGAATGAATGTAAAACTAATGTTCTCCCATGTAAACTATCATATAATTCACAATAAAACATTAAAAAAATAAAAAGTTCCTAGGAAATGCCACTATCATTTACTTCTATTTTTCCAAGGTCCTCTTGAGGGCCCTAAGGTCCCTTGGACTCTCTGCCAGGTCATTTAATATATGGCAGAAAAGAGAGACATGGTCTCCTTCTAGAGATTTTGGTCTAGTATCATAGAAATGGAGTTCTGGTGTGGGTGTGGCACTGTAGAATAAGCACTGGACTGCTAATCGAAAGGTCTGTGGTTCAAACCCACAATCTTCTCCTATGCAGGGTCACTGTGGGTCACAACTGACTTGATGACAATTTACAAAAGCATCAACATGATCTTTTGTTTTTAAGTACCTTCGAGTAGGTTCCTGAGGCTTAAATCTCTGTGGGAGCAGAAAGCCTCATCTTTCTCCCATGGAGCGACTGGCTGGCTCAAACCACGGACCTTGTGGTTTACAATCCAGAGCTTACCTTACTCCCCTAAGTATTGTGTAGTATCATAGAAATATATTTTAACCATATCGGTTAACATTTATTATCTTCTAGTTTGCTGACCTATATTCATCATTGTTGTTGTTGTGTGCCATCGAGTCTGTTCCGACCCATAGTGATCCTGTATAGAACTTCTAAGAACTGGCTGGTGAGCTCGAACCACCAACCTTATGATTCAAACCGACTCTACAATCCAGCGCATTAAGCCACAGTGCCACACCAGGACTCCATACTCATCATATCATGTCTTTAATAAAAAGTCTGCCCAGCCTTCTGTGTCAACACTGTTCAACATCTGGTAACACCTGCTTGTTAACAATTTGTAATCTAGGGCAGAAGGCAATGGCTAACAATTTTGTGGCAGATTCTATAAGGAGTCCTGGTGTGTTTCTGTAGGATAATACGCTGGACCGCAAGTTCAGTTTGAACTGTAAGGTTAGCAGTTCAAGCCTACCAGCCACTCCTCAGAAACCCTATACAGGGTTGATTTGAGTTGGAATTGACGCAACAGCACTTAACAACAACAAC